CAAAAAAAAAAAAAAAAAAAAAAAAAAAAAAAGATTATGATGAGTTTTAAATTGGGAATTTTACTCGTTTTAGGTGTGATTTTGTATATCTGGACCCTGCCTTCTCATTTTTGACATGCTCTTTTTTAAAAAATAAATTCATTTATTTATTTTTGGCTGCGTTGGGTCTTTGTTGCTGCGCGCGGGCTTTCTCTAGTTGCGGCGAGCGGGGGCTGCTCTTCATTGCAGTGCATGGGTTTCTCATTGTGGTGGCTTCTCGTTGTTGCAAAGCACGGGCTCTAGAGCGCGGGGGCTACAGTAGTTGTGGCACAAGGGCTCAGTCGTTGTGGCTCGCGGGCTCTAGAGTGCAGGCTCAGTAGTTGTCGTGCATGGGCTTAGTTGCTCTGTGGCATGTGGGATCTTCCTGGACCAGGGCTCGAACCCATGTCCCCGGCATTGGCAGGCGGATTCTTAACCCCTGCGCCACCAGGGAAGTCCCGACAAATGCTTTTAATTTCAGAAATTATTTTGAATTTGTATACAATGAGTGTATATTACTTTTCTAACGAGAGAATTAAGTATCATTAGAAAAATCTTCTTTTGCCTAGAAATCTGAAAAGTTAACTAGTGGACAAGTATCTGAGCTTTCTCTCTGGGTCCGTATTATCAGATTTCCCTCCATCACACTCTTTAGTGTTCAGTAGGGTCTAATGTTACTTGTCCTAAGTGATCAGACCTCCCTTGGGAGTCCATTTTGTAATCTGCCATCCAGATATCAGGGAGGGGAAGGCTCATTTTAAAGGTTGGCCTTTGGTGTTTTGTTTTCCAGTAGGTTTTGACTCCTAAGTAGGTATTCCTTAGCATCTTGTTATGAACACTTATCATGAGATACTGGTTATTCATTGTGGGGGGGGCAGGTAAGAAGGAGAGATGCTATTTTCTTTTGCTACCTCTGGCCTTATTTATGGAGAATTTGGGCCTGGTATGTATCTAAATCTAAGGCTATATCTTTGTCTAAAAAGTTTGACCTAAGAAGTATTTTTATCACTTAATAGATCCCCCTCCAGACATAGGATCCCATTCTGAGGAGGGTGGCCCTTTCAAAGGAAATGCTCTCCTGCCACGCTCGTGATACGGGCTGATGGGGTGCTACTTCAGCCTGTTGCTGCTTGAACTCGCCTGTTGGTAGCCATTGCCTGTGGCCTGTGACTGCGTTTATAAAGGGAACACGATGGGAAAAGCTTTTCTTACTCTCATTCACTTCAGAATTTGGAGTAGAAATCGGAAATTGCCACAGAAGCATTTGTTTAGACAGTGTAACAGTGTTTAGCCAAACTGTGTAGTAATGGTTTTGTGGAATCATGAAAGCGTGACTAAGCCCTGGAAGATGAGGCGCACCTTGTAGTCATTTGTTTGCTAGATCTATTTTGGAGTGGCGTGGGTGACCGGAGGGGACACAGAAAGTGTGTACGTAGGTGTTCATGAGAAATGGACCCAAAACACTGAAAGCCCTTAAGGAAAACCACTGCTGTTAAAATGAGAGAGTTTTTCTGGGGTGTATCTGGGTAATTAGTAGAGAATGCACTATGTACTCTGATGAGAATCTTCAACAGACTTCACTGTGTGCCTGAGGACAGCTAGCAGGGCTGTCAGCCCTGTTTCCAGAGAGCTCTGCCCCCAGGGAAGCGGGACAAGCAAGGAGTCCCCTGGTGAGTGTGCTGAGTTCAG